GATGTCATATCTAAATTAGGGGCCGCCTTTAAAAGTAAGCCATCCCAAACAAGTGTGGGCGACCCTTGAATTTTCACATCTCCGGGTCCCCAGGATTCAGGATGTAGCTGGGACGGGGAGCTGCTGAAGCAGGAGTTCTTGGGTCACCTGTGTTGCCCGTGGCTGTTCCCAGAGTCTCCCCTTCCCTTGTTTCAGTTCCGCGCCGGTCGCACGGCTGGATGGCACCTCTAGGACCCCCCCGCAAGGTGCCACAGGAGGGGATATTTAAATAAAATCCAGAGGTCCGTTGCAATCCTTTGGACGGCCGTTGCGCCGTTTTTTTTGGTTTTTCTTTGCCTGAGGTGCTGTACTGGTACGTACCGCAATATATGGAAGACATGGGGCCGAAAGGAGGCCGCGGCTCGCTTCCGGAACACATCGGCATGTCGTTGTTTGGGGGGACCCCCTTAAAATGGTGGTGTTCCTTTTGGTTTCCCTTAACCAGCCGAACGGGATACCCCTCGAAAAAAGGACACACCCACATTCTGCCAGTGGAACGTTCAAGGAGACAAGCCACTTGCAAGCGGATGGTTGTTCCAGTGCACAAGACCAAACGCCGTGTCCATTAAGGGCGACCCCGGTTGGAATCAAGCAATTTTGGAGTAGGTGATGTTATTTGAGGGTTACTTAGACGCTCCCCTGGTTTGCTCTTATGGGGCGTGGTTTCTGCTTCATACAATTGGGGTTGTCTCAAACTAGGGAGCCATCAAAGTCAGTATTGGTGGGTGTCCTTCGTTCCACCTCAAAGCGGCGCCAAAAAGGCTACCCTCAAGAGAAACACCCTGTTTGGCCTTAGAAGCAGTCTTTGACTGGTGACCAGGTCAATCAACATCAGCACTGAATTTGAAGTATTCCAAGTAAGCCAACCCCGAACCATTCTCATTGCCTGGTTCTTGCAATATGTCCGGAATAGTCCGCGACAGTTGAATCAGAGTACCCCAGTTGCCCAGTGACTGCGGTGAAAAAGAAAGCCACTTTCGGGATTGACCGTTTTTTGCAAGCACGCCAAAAGGGATTTAGAAGGTGTTACAGAACTGGAGCGTGGGTCGATCAAAGGGACATCATATTCACCCTCTCAATGGTTTAAAGGAAGACCACCCTGAAACGCAATTGCCTTGAACTCAAGAAATGTTCCTCTTGCAAGTGCTCAGCAGGGAATGAGAAATGGAACGATCAAAAAAAGAAGGACAAAACAACGATCCAAGTAGTGGCTTCCTTTCAGGGGATTCCAAAACGGTTCATTCCCAAACCCCCGGTTTCCCTACTGAGAACCAAGTCATAACACAAGTAGATCTTAGCCCGGCCAGGCCACGGTCACTGAGCCAAGCCCGAGCATCGCTCCGGGAACCAGCTGAACCAAGGAACTTCACTGGATTCCTCCCTGGTTCACTGTGCATGGACGATATCCCTTCGCACCCCGTGGGGACACCATGGAAAATTCCAGGGAAGTCAGAAGCTCAGGGCTTCTTAGGTGTTTCTTAGGCGCGGGATTTTGTCCATCCACAGTGGAGGCCAGTTTCTAACTGGGGAGAGCGTGGTCCAAGTGTTGCAAGATGCATCTGAAACTGCCAGCCAAGAGGTTGACCCTTGGGCCATTTCTGGGGCCTTTGGTTGCAGTTGTGCATTCGGGGCCATCCGTCCAAGACTTCGGACGACAATCGGCCGAAGAGCTGAGTTCAATATGGATGTAAAGGGTACTTTTCAGAGGTACTCCAGACGATTCCTGACACACTCTATGTCTAAGATAGATCACCCCCAAACCACTCGAAGAGGGACTGCATTACGCAGCCACTTCGTTATATAAAGTTTTTCCCTGGTCCCGCGACCCACTTTAAGGGAGAATATCCATGGAGGGTGGGCATTGCAAGAGCACTCATGTTCACATCCTGGTTAGCATGAAGTTCTCAAGTGTCCTGCAAGGAAAAGCAAGTTATCCAACTGAACTTGACCCTCGTTTCGTGTTCCAAAAGGACGCGGAAAGGACTGCTTCGGGTCCAAACAGTTTTCAGCCCAACTCTTGGCGCTCGGCGCCCGGAAGCTTGGATCGGGGGATTGGCCAAGGCTCGTTCGCGAACAGAGTGCAGCCGGATGGCTGATGCCCCGGGGTGCGAAACGGTGGGTATGGCTCAAAGTTAAACCAGAAAACCCACAGGCTAAGTCGTCCATGCTTTTCCATTTGCCAGGGTTCCATTGCGCGTACCTAGTTTTTACCCATAGCCATATAAGACATGAATGGTCAAACACAAGGTCGCCAAAAAGTGAGATTTGGACCAGTCTCGAGGATGTTTTCCAGGCCTATTTCGCACCCAAGCGACATCTTCCCAGGCCTGGAAGTTCCGGGGTCCTTGGGGCTCGGGGCTATCGCGAGAAAGCGAAGGCACTGGACCGGCGGTCAAGTGGAGTGCTCAAGCTTCAGCCGTGCTGCACAGCCTCCATGGCGCTGAACAAAGGGCTTTTTCCATAGGTGTCCTTTTTGGGTTAGTTTGGTTGAAAATCGATGGCGCTGGTCTGGATGGGTTTTGGTTCCGTTTACCAGAGCCATCTAGTTTTCCAGCAGGCAACTTACGGTCCCTTCACTAGCAAAACGATTTCCTGGCACCCAGAGGTCCCTTGGAGGAAGGATAGGCTCCGATTGTGTTCCCGAGCGTTCATTCCACGCTGAAGCTCTCTCGGCCAGTCGGGCCTATCCGGTCGGCCTGAAAGTTGGCCCGGCTGAAGCCGCTGCATCGCTGCATAGAGAAAGCCAGCGGGTGTTGGGATCGGCCGTCCTCTTGAATCCATTCAGCTTAAGCACCGCAACGGTAGGCGATCCGCTGCAAATTGACATGGAAACCCCAAAAGGAGATTTCTCTATCAAGTAAGGTGTGTTGGGTTCCACTTAGTTCAACTCCTTGACCAGAAACATGTTTCCTGCCTAAGCAGCCGGAAATATCTTAATTTGCTGCTATATAGGGGGGGAAGGAGCCACCAGCAGTCCTGTAAGCCCATGGTAGCTGCGATTTAAGGATATATCAGGGTCTTGTACTTGCGGGAAGGGGTGCCATGCGCAGCCCCAAAACCTGATTTCATTCTTTCAGTGGTGGCCCCACGGTTTCTCCTAGCTCCTACTGTTATTGCAACTCCTTGGTATCAGCTTGCCCCATGTTTTCCCACAAAGGATGCCGGTTTTGCTACTTTCGGCGCAGAGTGCACTCGCCAAGGGCCCGACCGCAGCTTCCAAGTGAAATGCGTTAGGACGCATGGAGCTCATCATGTACGCCGTTGAAGCGATTGAGAAACTTGGGCGTAAGCACTTGTTATATAGATGTTGCTTTGGCAAGACAGCATGGCAAATGCTTGGCAACAGAGACTGATGTGAGCCAATGAGGCAGAAAATATCTCACCCCAGATGTGGTGAGTCATTTCTTCGGCCCTTGTTCGGCGTATCGTCACAAAGCACGGGTCAGGGCTAGTTATAAAGAAAATGCTTACAAATTGCTCCTTTTTCAAGCTCCTTGTGGTGGAAAACCTAAAGCTTGCAGAGTTCCTTGCATCTCAGGCCGAATCTTTTTCATAAGGCTCTTTAGCCAGAGGTCCGAGGACAGAAGGCGCCGTCGCCATGCCGAAGAAACGGGCGAAGAAGCTCACGTGGCTCTTCTGGCGACTTGGACGTCGCGTTATGTTGCGCTGTCGAGGGGTGTTTCATGTGAAGCGGGGACCCCACATCATGGTGTTTTTCTTGGACACATACAGCAAAAAGGGGTAGACTCAAGAAAAGGAACCACACCCGTTTGGAAGATGTCCGCTTGGTTTCCCTTTAAAACCCAGGGTAAACACCAAAAAGGGGTACACTCCAAAAAGGGAGCCACATGTGGAAGACAAAAGTTACCTGCGTTTGGCACCCACGCTCTTTTTCGGATCTCTCCAAATGAAGCGGCTGTTTCAAAGTCGCCAAGAGGGCAAGCTTTCATTTCTGCCATGTTCAGACGACCCCTTAACTTGAGGTTAACCGGGGCATCCATTTGGCAAGGATCCTTAGCGACCGTTATAGTGATTCCTGTTAAGGAAACCATGACCCCATTGGCCACATATTTCAGGAGTTTTGACCATGGCTCACTTGGACAAATCCATTTGGGGCCTAGCGGGAGTTGAAGGTAAAGCTCTGGAGGCGTCACGTGCCCATCAACTCTTTCAAGGCGGTTGCATTTGATTTGTGGGTGTTGTTGGCCCATGTGTTTAGTCCAGGTCCCAACAGGTTTGCCTTTTGTTACCGGGTCCTTTGGCTGCATTTGTCGGCTCTGGGCACCTTTTGGACCCAGGAGGGAAGGCTGCCTGATCAGAAGTGCAAACACGTGCAACCTCCGGCGATAAGGTACAGGCAATCCGCTGCGAGGTGTGTGTTGCACGGGAAATTGAGACTGAGCTCGCTTGCATCCCAGCTTTTGGCCTTTTAGTTTCTCATTGGTCCATGTGTCAAGTGTCCAAATCAATCATCTGCTTCCATTTCCTGGTGCTATGGTTGCAAGAGATGTAGACTTTGCCTTTCTCATGACTAATTCGCACGTTGATGTAAAAATCAATTGGGTGTTCCATTGAGCTTCTAAGACTTGTAGGGTGGAACACGAGGAAACCAACCACCTAATGTTTTGCTCGGGTCATGGCTAGCCTGATCACTTGCCTCTCCCGACGGGCCATTTTCTGCAAGAACCATGGCTGTTGAAAGGTGCGGGGCATGGGAACACGGGGTTTTAGAAATGGAAAAATGCGATAGCAAGGGGACCCCGCTATCTAAAATTAGTGTCAAAGTAGGCATGGAGATGGGAACCGATCCGCTTCTGTTTCTTCGGGCCCACAAGGTTCTTCTAAACTCTGAAGCAGGGGATTTTTGTTGGGCTTCCGCGCTTTCAGCCGGGCTGCTGACGCTTGAGCCATCTTGTGGTTGCCTTTGGGATGACGTTGTATATTACCCGGCCCGGTCTCAGATGACCACTCCTTGGACCACGCTGCCGGCGCTCGCTTCAAGGCTGGGTCCGGTGATCGCCGTGGTGGCGGCGCCGATTTTGCTGCACGCCGCGGCTTCAGAGCTCTCAGAGTCCACCGACGACGCTCAGCAAGCAATCAGATGGCCCGAGCCCGAACCCATTGGCCTTTGGTTGGTGGGGGTTATGAAAACAAATCCGTCCTGGCAGATGGTGTCTTCCATGTAGTGGTGTCCCGCTGCGGGTTGAGGATTGGGGAGCCCCATGTGGAACCACATCAATCCGGTGACATCAGACGCATATGCATTTTTCCTGATTTCCGCCTTTGCTTTTGCAACAGTTTGCAATTCTCCATTTTCATGTCGTTTACCCAGGGAATGGCGCCATCTACTTTCAACCCAGGAGCATCTCATGGCCACTGCGGCTCTGCTTTCTGCCATCGCCGTGCTGTCTCTGCTGGGCTTTGCGCAGCTCGGCCGCACCAGCTCAGAATTTTGTTTGGATTTTCTCACTTGCCCAGTGGTTTCCTTTTTCGATTTTTTGGGGGAAGGGTTCCCCTTCAAAGTCAACCAACCAAAAAAAAGATGCTCTTTTTTCCATGGCCACTGGGCGTCTGATTTTTAGTTTGAGATCCATGGAAGTTTGATTAAAATACGGGGGGGCCGCAAAAAATATATTTTTTCAAAACAAATGTGCGAGTGTTTTTCGGGGTTCGCAATTTAAATCACGGTGAACCGGGTACCAAACAAAATGCCACATACCCAAGTGAACCTTTTGAGGGTTTCTCAGAGTCACTGTTGGATGTTCTTTTGGGCTTGAAATCACAATGTTGAAGGTAATTTTGAGGACGTGGAATCTGGACTGAATTGGTGAATCCCATCCCCATTCAGGACTTTTGGATATCGGGGGCCCCTCAGGGGACGTTATGTCCACCTGTTATGTTTGAGGGCGTTCCCCCCACGTCAAGATGGCAAATCCGCAACATTTGTTTATACCAAAGGGGCTGCCTGTAATGAAGAATTTCCCACATCCTCCCTTGAAGCATCATCAACCAACCAAAAGCCATGTTGAATTCGCCGCAAGGCCCTGGTTGAATCCCAACCAAAAGGGAACATGAGGGAACCACCCTGTTGCTGTTGGAAGGGGGCAGCTCTCACAAATCTGAGCCTTGATAATATATTTTTGGGGGTCTCCAAAACGAAACGGAATGAGATCAGATTCTTTTCCGTGTAATTACCTCAAGGGGTGGTTTTCTGTCGCCTGGCTGCAGGCTGGATGAGCTCTTCGACTGCCCCCGCAGCTTTCCTCTGGCGCTGGTTTGGGCGCAGGTCTTTGCGATTGCCCCTCCGGCGAAAAACAATTTGGCTTTGGTGGCCATGGAAAAACCAAATGGTTTGATCGCCAGTTTTGGGCGGCCAAGGAGAGTTTGACAAGTTGGCCTTGGCCAAGGAGAGTTTGACACCATGGCATGGTGCTGGTTCAGTCGATTCCACCCTTTGCCTCAATTGCACCCCTGTTTAGTGGCTTCACTACAAGAATGCCTGACGAGAAAATCATTTCCCTGATGTCGGAGTTTCTGATAGGGGGTGCGCCTCACCATGTTCAAGGGAATGTCTACCAACCCAGAGACGAGCGCCTTTGCCTTGTCAGGGAAGTTGACTAGGTTCGGGCGCGAGCCGTGTTGGAAGCTGGTACCTGAGTGAGGGGGGGGGCCGATCAGAGAGTCGTTATGGGTGCAAATAGTTGGATGGTTTTGGCACTGGTTTGACAGACCATTTGGCTGTGGTTGTCAAAACTGGGATCCCATTTTGGGGGATTGGTGAGTTCACCACCCATGTTCGTTTGTCTTCGTGGTTGGATTGGGATGAACAAGCTGGGGGTACGATTTGGGTTTTGACCCATGCTGGGCTGGCTCCAACCGCTAGTTTGGTCCAGCTGACGCCCTTGGCTTGTTTGGCTCGGGGCTTAGCGGGAGTTTCCATATACCCGCAGGGGATCTGAGCCCAGTTATGCATACAGGTTGGCTGTGGAGGTACGCAACTCTCTACTAAAATTGTCTGGTTGACATATCCAGCGGTGAGCAACTGGATGCAAATGGCAAAGGCTTACAAAGGGGTTCACATGAAACAGCGTTTCGAAGAGTATGCGCTATTTACCACCCAGTTCGAAACCATGCTTACAAAGGTTACACAGAGATACTCGGGGTGGATATTTTGAACCAAAGCGACTCCTCCCTAATCCAAAGACAGCCTCCAATGTCTCAAATCCCGAACCCGATGTCTTGGCGTGATGTTTGCAACGACCAGTGTAATGATGGCCAAAGCAGGGGAAAGCAGAAGGCCAGTAAAAGATTTGATGCGTGAACGCCACTTTTCACGGGGACAAACGGGCCTTTGGGAGACACATCTTGGACAAGCTGACAAAATGCATATTGCCTCTGTGATTTGTCAGTTGTCCAGGGATCTCCTTGGAACCGCGCCCGCGCCCAGTTCTTGGCTGGCATGCTGTGGCCGTCCATTTTCGGTCCGCTGCCCAAAGCAAGGCTTGGGCCTTCTGCTGGCCTACTAAAGCTTGTTCGGCCGGCGCTGAAGCTTTTTGCAGAGGGGTCAACAGCAACCAAGAGCCCTAATATCGAGCGCAACTGTGCAGGGAGCGAGGGCAGAAACAAGGTGGATCTGCTGTTCAAGAACGGGCATTCCAACACAGACGCCCTAAGTGTGGACGTCATTCTTTTTGGAAGACTAGTGTAGTGGCAAACTGCAGGTTCAGACTCTTGTGGGCAATCCACTCAAGAAGTGAGAATGCGGGAGTAAGGGACCAGTATGGTATCCTGCTGCTCGGATGATCACCTCAATGAGCAAGCGGTTGAAAAACAGAATCATGGTTCTCCACTTTCCATCAATCATGGAATTGCACAGGACAAATGTCTTCTAAAACCCTCTTTATGAATGTTGAAGGGAGAGTATGCCCAATTGCCGGCAGACCGGTTGCCAACAGGGCTCCATTTTTGTTGGCCCATCTTTTGTAATGGATCTGAAAGGTCTGCTGCAATGGATCTGAAAAGGTGTGCGTATGTTATTTCCTGGCGGAAAGTGAGGCTGGCTTTTTCTTGTCAAAGTTCCTGGCAGGTCGCTTGGGCCCAAGCCATTTTATGGGCAGCGGGGTGGGGGAGGTCCTTTACTTGGCGTCCGGACCCAAAAAAAAACGGGGATGTTCCGTCAAGGGATGCATCCCAACTAAAGGGGACACACTCCTATCAACCAACCAGGCTTGCTATTGCAAACAAACTGCAGGTCTCTTGGAAACTAAAACGGACTTTCCATGATTCACAGGTTACACTCAGGGAAGACCCACACGGTTTCTCGGTTCCCCGTCAATCTTGATGTTTGTTTTGTTGCCATGATTCATGTTTCGTCCAGGTTTCAATCAGGTGGATCTTTTGTGTCCAGGTCTGGTTGCAAGTGAATCAAGCTGGTTCCTTTCAGGGACGAGCTGGAGCACTGGCTGCGCGGGCACCTGAAAGCGCTCCCAAAGATCGAGACTGCGCCACAGACCCCCACTGCGCCAGTTGAGCGTGTGGAGGTGCCGAGGTGCCTAGCCGGTGCGGTGTTAGCACATCTTTACCAGGCATATCAACTCCTCCCCCCAACTTCTCCTGAACTTGTTTGGGCTCCAACTCTGTTTCCCTTGGACCTCTTGGGTAAAAAGTCCCACTTGGGCCAAGCTGAATTGAGCTTTGCCCCTCCCAAAGGACAGGCCCCACCCCCTCAGACTCAGGTGCAGAACAGCGAACCGTTCCGTGTGTTTCTTTTGGCTCAGCTTTTTAGACATAGCCACCGTTTGATAAAGGGTCAGGGTGGCATAGGTCCGGAACTTCCATTGACATTCGGTTTGTTTCCTTGGAGAAGATTCAAGGAGTGGGAAAACTGGAGACCACCAGCTCCTCGATGCTTTTACCTTGGCAGGGGCTCTTGACCAAAACCGGGTGCCCTGCCGCAGGCTAGCGCCAAGTCCAAGTGGCGGCGCCTTGCGGGGGAAGGCGGCTGGGTCAAACAGCCCAGACGAAAAATAGGTATCCAAAATGGAAGCATGGTGAATGGAAGCAAGACAAAAACCTGCGTTTGTTTCCCCCCCCCCCGCGGTTTAATTTTGACCCATACCCATATGAGTTTTAACAGAACACCTGACAAGTTGCTGGTGCGCATGAATCCCCACTTAAGTGATGTTCCACCAACGGGTCCCCCCTTTAAATGTTTGTGAACTGCCACCGTGGGAAGAGTGTTTTGAAATTGTGTTTTTTTGCGCCTTGGCATGGGATGGATGCGCTGTTACTCGCACATGCGGTGTTCGGAGTTTTTGAAAAAGGTCACCGACTGCAAGCATTTTTCCTCTCCCCCGTTTCCTAGCAATCAAGATTCTCCAAGGATTCCCTTGGCATTCCCTCAGAAAGCCCTCAAAATTCCGTCAGAATTCCCTCCGTAGCCCTAGTGTTCCTTTAGTACTTTCTCGGTATTCCCCCCTAGCATTCTCCCAGTATTCCCCCAATCTCGGTACTCCCCAAGAACCTCCTTGATGATTCCCTAGCATTCTTCTAGTATTCAGTATTCTGCAAGTGGTCCCCTATTACCCCCTCGGTTTTCCCGTAGTATTCCTTCAGTAATCTTTTGGTATACCCCTCCCAGTATTCCCGCAATAACCCTAGTGTTCCTTAGTATTTTCTTTGTATACCCCGAGTGTTCTCCAGTATTTCTAGTATTATCCTAGTATGTCCCTCGTGTTCCCCTGGCATACCAAAAAAATACTAAGGAATGCTGAACAATAGAAAGCTCCTCTTCGCTGGTGGCTGTGTTACACAATATATAGGCCAAAACTGTGTAGGCCCATTTTGGCGAGCGTGCTAATAGAACTAAATGACAAGTGGCTTGCTATTCGCGGGTTCTTTTTCTGTGCTGCCACGCGCTAATCGTTTGCTGCAAGCAAATTGTGCGGAAGTTGGCACGCTGGTTGGCGTGCCTGTAAACGCAAAGGGGGGGAAAGTCTGGAGGAGGGCACCCCAAATACTTGTATGAATAGTAGGGGAAGACTGGGAGAATACAACTCTAGGAGAATCCATGGGAACACTGAGGAAATACTAGAGACCAAGAGAATACTTGAGGAATACTAGGGGGAATTGCCAAGAAAATGCTAGGGGGAACACTGAGACACTAAGCGAATACTGTGACAAAATTGGGTGAATACCAGGAGAATACAGAGGGAATACTAAGGGAATGCGTGGGAAACATTAGGGGAGTGCCAGCAGAATATTAAGGGAATAGGGAAGCATCAAGGCCGAATGCTAGAAAACCCAGGAGCACGGATGCATGAGTGCAAAAACCTCGGAAAAAACCAAACCTGATAGAAGCCACGAACCCGAATGCAAAAGATGGCCTTGGGAATGCGCATTTCGTCAACTCGAGCAATGTTGTCCAGCTGGAGACATGTTTTAAGCGACATTTTGAGCTTCTGACCGACCGTTCAACCGACACCTCTAAATATGCTTCAACGCAACACTCGTAAGCGACTTTTGTCACTGACACTTTTGAGAGACGCTTCTGAGCAAGAGCTTGAGCAACGGCGACACTTCTGAACACACACTTACAAGCGATATTTCGAATTATGCTCCTAAGCGACACCTCTGATTGACACATCTAAGCGTCAAGCGCCAATCCTGAAGCCATAATTCTGAGCGACAAACTACGGCAAACTGAGCGACACCTACACACACACATAAGCGACACTTCTGAGCAGCACTTCAAGTGACACTTTTACACTTTACACACACACATACACGGAAGCGACGCTTCTGAGCGACACTCCTGAGCGACAGTTTGGGCAACATTTCTATTTGAGCGACGCTTTTGAGCGACACTCCTGAGCAACATTTGTGAGCGACACATTTGAGCAACACTTCCGAGCAACACTTCTGAGCGATACTCCTGAGCGACACTGCGGACAACACCTCTGAGCGACACTTCTGAGCCACATGCGCTTCTACACGCACATCAGCAGCACTCCTGGGCGACGATTCGAGCGACACTTCTACACACATATCTGAGTGACACCTCTGAGCGACACTTCTGAGTGACGCTGCTGAGCAACACTTCGATCCGAGCAATGCCTCTGGTCGACACTTCTGAGCAACAGGATCGACACTTCTGGGCAACACTTCTGATCGACGCTTCTGAGCAGCACCTCTGATCGACACTTGTGAGCAACACTTCTGAGCAACAGTTCTGAGGAACACCTCGATCCGAGCAACGCTTCTGGTCGACACTTCTGAGCAACACTTTTGACCGACACTGCTGAGCGACACTTCATGAGCGACACAAGCGACAATTCTTATGAAAACTTCTGATCGACGCTTCTGATCGAGACATCTGAGCAACGCTTCTAATTGACATTCTGAGCCACACTTCTGAGCGATGCGACACTTCTGAGCAAGACTTCTGAACGACACTTCTGATCGATACTGCTGATCGACACTTCAGATTAACACTTCTGAGCGACGCGACACTTCTGAGCAACACTGCTGACCGACACTTCTGAACGATTCTGGTCGACACTTCTGATCGACACTTCCGAGCGACACTTCTGAGAAATGCAGCTGGTCACGTCTCTTGCCACGTCTCTTGTCTTAATGAACACTATAACGACACTTCTGATCGAAACTTGCGATCGACACTTCTGATTGACACTTCTGAACAACACTCCAGATGGACACTTCTGATCGTCTCTCTCTCTCTCTCTCTCTCGCTCTCTCTCCATACTTCTATAATCGACACTTCTGAGCAACACATCTGATCGACACTTCTGAGCAACACTTCTGATGGACACTTCTGATCGACACTTCTGATCGACACTTCTGAACGACACTTCTGATGGACACTTCTGATCGACACTTCTGAACGACACGTCTGCAATCGACACTTCCTAGAGTCTAGGTTCTGAACGACACTGCTAATGGACACTCCTGATCGACACTTCTGAACGACACTTCTGTCTCCAAATGCGCACCGCGCCACAGAGCGATTCAATCCACCCAAAGTGCGTAGAGGGTTCGCTTTGCGAGCTCAGAATGCGCACCGCACCACAGCAGAGGGTTCACTTCGCATGCTCAAAATGCGCAGAGGGTTCGCTTCGCGTTCTCAAAATGTGCACCCCGCCACAGCGAGAGCGACTGGACCCACCCAAAGTGCGCGAAGGGTTCGCTTTGCATTTTCAAAAAGTGCACCGCGCCACAGCGAGAGCAAGTCGACCCACCCAAAGTGCTGCGCCTGCCACGACATCGGCGCACAAGCTCGAAAGTACTGCGCCTGCCACGAAATCTGCACGAAAAGCCCTAAAGTGCTGCGTCTGCCACGAAATCTGCATAAAAAGCTTTAAAGTGCTGCGCGTGTCACGAAAAATCACGTTGCAGCGACATGCAAAGCGCTCAACATGCTGCGCCTGCCACGAAATCAGACTTTGACACTCCCGCACTGCGCGCGGAAAACTAGCGCGGGACTGTAGCGCCAGAATGATTTCGACCTTGCAAATCTGCAGTCGTGAAAATGGGCCGATTGTACGACAGGGCCAACGAAAACGGCGCCGGCGCCTGCCAAGCAGGACACCTCAAAACAACCACCCGTGGATCGCAAATCCCACTGGCACGGCAACGAGAACACGCAGCCTTCCAAAACACTGCGCCTGCGCAGCGAAACGACACGTCGAGCTTTAAAAGCTACGATTCCCGCACAGGGGCGCAAAAATTGACACGCTTCAAGGCATCCAAATGGCACGTTTTCGCTTTCCCCCTTGGAACTGCGACCGCTTGGGGACGTAAATTCAACGACTCCTGGTCACGTCCTAACCCCCAGACCCACCTCTAAACGGGAACCCTTCGGCCACGCCCCAGAACACAACCTTGGAGGCACTGATCATTTCACCCAGGGATGTTTGTTCCCCGAGGTGTTTTTTTTTTTTGGGGGGGGGGGTTCTAGAGGTTTAGGTCATTATTTTAGTGTTTTTTCAGGTATTTCACAAACGCAGGCCACATGGCGGCCCCTTCTGACTCAGTATCCAACAGAAGGTTTAGCCGGGCGTGTTTTAGTTCAAGCGTAGATGACTCCCACTGTTTCAGCCCGCTGGACGCATTTTTTGGGGGGGCCAACAACTAGTTCACCAGGCAGGCGCGGACCTCGGGCTGTCCGAGTGGGGTCCAAAGTGCCAAACGCGTCTCTTGCTTCAAAGGCAGACCCCATGGCAACAAACCCTGAACCATGTCTTCAGAAAAAGGAAAAAAGAAGAAACATGGGAAAAAAAAACAGAAAAAATGGAGGATCATGAAACAACCAAGCGTGAAGTTGCAAAGTCTGGTCTGCAAATGTGTGATCGCCTTCAGAATGAATGGTTTCCAATTGGTTTGCGTGTGATCCATTTTCACTTTTCTTTTTGTGGGTTCCCAGCAAGGATGGAATCAACCGACCTAGAAAGGGGCTTCCCTTTTTCTAGCAGGGTCACTAGGCAACCTCTATTCAGAGTAATGTGCCAAGATGCTTGAAACCCAGAAGTCGTTCCTGACATCCATTCACAACATTGGTTGAAGCCCAAGAGTCGTTCCTGACATCCATTTACAACATCCCAACATACATGTGTATATATATATATATATTGTTTTTCCCTATTGCAAGGGGGCGACGGTTTCGCGCAGGTTGCGGGCAACGAGCTTCCGGGCTGGCGGGACGTGGGTGATGGCTTCTGCCTGGACGGTGAATCCAAGGAAGAGCCGCCGGCCAGCAAGTTGGATGCACTCCCCAGCCCAAGCTGCACTCCTTAGCTCAGTTCTGGAGTTCCTGCACATATATATATATACATTTATTGTATTTATTTATATTTATTTATTTATATTGATTTATTTATATTTATTTATTTATATTTATTTATTTGTTTACTTTTTGGGGGTACACTTTATACAAACTGTTTTGGGAAGACTTTCTTGAGTTCTTGCGTTCCTGCTCAGTTTTGGGGTAGACCTTTTTACTGTGGTAAACACAGAATTTGGACTTTTGCTTGCTGGTCTACTCAGGAAAGGAGTTAACCTGGCGCTTTTGGAAACTTCCAGGTCAGTTCGCAGGGGTGTAAGGAGACCAGCGATAGGGTTTCCGGGCTATGCCCAGCATGGCATCTACCTGGATCAAAGACGGAGCTTAGGCCACCAAAAAAAAGTACAACATCACCACACCCAACTCGTTCCACGCCGGCCCACTCTCACTATCAATGCCTGGCCCCCCCTAAACCCTATGCTTTTGCGTTCAAGCTTCACAACTGCCGCTACCCATGCACAAAGCTATTGCCCAACCGCTTCCATTCAGATTGTGGAAGGCTCCAAGGGCGGCGGGATCGAGCGTGGCTTTGATTTGTGCTCGAGTGTGGCTTTGTTTCCCCAACCCTAAGAAACTCGTGTTTTTGTTTGTTTCGTTGTTTTTAAGGTTGCACGACCATCAACAAGTGAACTGTTTGCGGACTTTCAGGGGTCGACCGACAACAACTCAAGCTGAGCGCGTGCGCTTATCATGCGGCCGGCGTGCACGTCGTCACGTGTGCATTTCATCTCACCATCATGTGTTCTGTAGTGCTGACAGGGTGCAGCTGAGTGGGCTTGCTTATCATCGCGGGCACAAGGGGGATGCAACACGCGAGGATCGGTCAAAGTTTGCCATGATTAGCAGAGGTGACATGGACCTTGTAGTTCTCCCATTGGCATTCCAGTAACAGCGTGTTTTGACTGTTTGCTCAGGTAGGCAATGTAAGTAGTTGTTGCAACACATTGCCAGGCAATGCAAAGCGCATACCGCCACCGCCGGATCTTCGCGCGTTTTGACGAACAGCTTGAACATCGGGCGCGGCTATAAGTTATAAGTGCTGCTAGCACTATACGAATTCTCGCCTTAGCCTTGTGCGCAAGAGCCGCGAGGGCTCCCGGGAGCTTCCGACCCGGGAGCCGGGAGCCCGAGGTTCAGCTCGTTGCATGCCATCGGCAAATCTCTCCTCGAGTGCGCTGCAGTGGCAGCTGCTGACCCCGAGAGCATTGCCCTGGACCGGAGTCCGAATGCCAGGTCAAACCCCCCCCCCCTCCCCGGTTCGGTCCCGAGTCAATTTGCACGCGGACTTGTGTTTTTGACGGCTGGACTTGCGCTCCTTGTGCCTCTTGAGTATTTCTCATCCGTAGGGAGTTAGACAGACCTATGGCCGCTGCGCTTGGCCATGCTCACTGGATTCGCCTTTGCCAAAGTCGTCAACCAAAACAAGACCAACCACTTCCATGTTCCCCTGTTGGGTTTTTAAACGGAATCTGTCACTACTGGAAATAGCTTTATTTTTCAATGGGACTTAAGGTTTTGCACGACCCCCAATGATTGCCGCAGTGTTTGCAGGCAGGCGAGGGACATTGTCTGGCCCATTTATCTTGTAGTGAAAGTTTGCTACACATGCGTATATTAGAACTTGTTAGTTGAAAAGCTGAGGGCTGGACCGTTTGCAAAGGTTGATGTTAGCCATACTTCAGGGGTAGGATACTGCGACCCTGTGATTCCAAAGATCAGCCTTTAACAAACACCCCCGTGAGGTTCTACTTAAATCCAGGTCCACGCTCACCTGGAGCCGCGGACGCCCTTTGCGCCCAGAAAAACAGCTGACAACTCAGAAGTTGGAACGGTTTTGACACAGACCCAGCATGGCGGAGTTCAGAGTGCTGAAGATCTACACAGCGCAAAAAATGCCAAAGTTGTTTGGGGTCCTTTCCTGAAGCTTATGGTGGGTTCAGCTTGGCCAGTCCAAGGGCTTGTTCTCGCCATTCAAGATCTCTGCGGGACCCCCACTGAGAGAGACAAAGTGCCATTTTTGGTTGGGCTGGGAAATGGGCCGGAGGGACAGAGTAGCTTTTAAGCAGGAAAGAGAGCTCAACCCATGGCTTCGTTGCAGTCGCTCACCCGCGGCCGCTGCAGGACTTTTCTTTGGACGACGGAGGCTGTGATATCCGGACGCTCGGCTGCACGTGGAAAGCTCGCGTGAATGCATCAACTCTATCCATCTTGCGGTTGGCAGTTAGTTAGGTTGTGGCACACTTGCAATGACAGGCTTTGCCTTTGACGTCTCCGAGACAAAGGAACCCCTGGAAGGGTAAAGCTTGTTCTACAATGCAAGTTGTTAGGTGCGGGCCATGGCTTTGACCTTTCTACCTTGGAATTAGGATCTCTCCAAAGATGAAGCGGAATTATGCGTGGGTGCTCCTGTTTGAGGGCGGGGCTCCTCGATTTTGACATCCAAATCAAGGTTGCCTAACTTCCGCTTTTCCCATGGCGCAAGAACTTTGGCAGTCTTGGCAAGGCAAGGTCCAATTCCCCAAGAGCCTGTTGGTTGTGATCCGTCGGCTGAAAGTGCAATCTCGCGAGCTGTGAGGTTTGGGGGGGGCCCGCTCTAGCAAAGAAGTGCATGGAGACTTGAGCACGGTTGTCTGCAGTACAGAAGCCTTGAAGCCCATCCGAATGTCGGACACCCGCGAGCATGGTGAACAGCCTTCGGCATGATGTGCTGACCTGAAACCTGAAAAGGCGCAGAGGAAAATAAAAAGTAACTCGTTGGGACCCGGGCTTGGCCCAAGCCATGGGCATTTGCAAACAAAGGCAAATGGACGTCTTGCCAGGTTCCCCGCCAGCGGTGTGTTCCAGGCGGTGGAGGGTTTCCAGTGGTGGGGCTGGGGCGCTGGCCAAACTGCCCCCATCGGCTCGGGACACAGGACGGGACGAGCTGTGAAAGCGGCGGGTTTTTGCGGCCCAGGTCCCAAAAAGAAGCAAGAAAGTGCGATCCCTGTGAAAGGGCGTGGGTTTTAACATCCACCTCTTGGCTCGTTCTTTCCAGTTGTCAATTCAAACAGCGCGTGTCACCCGAAGCACGGCAAAGTTTACAAGCCCTTGGCTTGGTGCATGTTTATTTCGACAATGAGGCCTTCAGATTTGCCCGTGCCAAGTTCACTTTTGCTGCAGGCCCCCAATCTTCGTCACCAGGTTTGTTTCACTGGCCAACGGAAGTCACGCTATGGCGGAGTTCGGAGTTGTGGCTTGCATCCACGGAAACCTTGACTCTGTTAGTATTCCAGAAAGCCGGGGCTCATGGCATGGCGTATCACAAGGAATGCTGCAATTAGCTTGAGCAGCACAGAGGCCAACAGAAAACCAGAAGGAAATCAGCAGCATTTGAGTTGCGTCCACGGTCGATTTGAGAGGACACGCTGACTCTTTAATTTTCCCACCAAAACCAGACTGGGCGCACGATGTTCTCCTAGAATAACCACATAGATTGAACGCGGCTCATGAGATGTCCGGCGTACTTTCCTACTTCCCCAGGAAGCACGACTCCGAGACGCGCTGCTTCGAGAGGGTTGAGAAGCGAGGTTGCACTGATCGAAGATGTGCTCTTTGCTTTCGCGCATTCGAAGAATGTATTTGGGCAAATTATCGCAAGCTCACCTATGATGTGGACGGCTTTTAACTTGGGCTTCTCTTATTTCCCGCTTGGGGGAGCGGGAAATCACGGCGAAAGCTGAGGACGAAAGAAAAGATGTCCAAATGGTCAATCTCAGCTGACCTGCACCCAAACTATCAATCTCTCATTCACGAGCCGCTCGGATCGCATGCAGGAGGCATAGGAAGCTTTGTGCAGTGAATGTTTCATTGCGAGCGTATCTCGGCCCGGTATTTGAAATCAGCCAGCCAGCCGCGGCCGGCCGGCCGATCAGCCAGCCGCGGCCGGCCGGCCCCGAGCAACATTCCTTGTGCGAGGCTTGCCCTAGGCCAGGTTTCTTTCTGAAACCTTGGCTCTGGCAGATTTCACTTGCCTCGAAGCTGGCAAAGTTAGCCAATGTTCGCTACAGCCACTCTTGCCAAGGTTTCAACAGGATATATACGGTGGCTGCATGTCCATTAAACACTTTGGGAGGTGTGATATGCGGGTACTGAGAACTATCTTACCCAATGGCTTGGCATCCTTCGTGTAGTCTGCTTGGACGAGGTACCCTTTTCAGCCTGTACGCAACGAGCGCGGCGACTTTGCAGCTTGGCTGTCAGGCACAGATGCCGGCCGCTGTCTTGGAATGCGGCAGAGTGAGGGCTCGAGCTGCTCAATCCGACCTGTTTCGGCTGTTTGGTGCAATTTTCGCCCTCTACCCAAGAGCCTCATGAACCGTTCTGAGGTGAATGTGATTCTGGTACGTTCGCCCTTCAGATCTGGTCGGCAGGAGAGTCCCAGCCTGAAGGGGTGGCGCCGTTTGCGCGCTCAACGGGATGCCCCAGAAGTGAGGTTTTCGCCTGGCGTGTTGACTTGTTGCAAGTTTGGCATTATTTTTTGTGTCCCTTTCAACCAGCGAAAAGTTGACACTTTGAAGGGTCTGAGCCATGCCCAGAGATGTCACTTGCGGGGTTGTCGCTCGACGATGGGACCCTGGACCCAGCAGCCGCCCTTGCACAAAAGCACTGGGCCTTGCTTGCAATGATACCAGACGAGATAGTCTAGGTCCCCCAGTAGTGCCCTTTTACCCTTTTTTTGGGGAGGGTTCCCCTATTGGAATAGACTACAGGAAAACTCGGGTACCCTCATTCTAAGCTCTCTACTGGAGGACCTAGTAGTTCAGATCGAGGTATCTGGATTCTAAGGACCTTGTACCAGCGTTTCAAGGATGAGATCCTCTTTTTGGGCATCAGCAGCTGGGAGGACTATCCGCTTCCCACTCCGAACCCCTTTTCTGAGAAGTTCTCTCCGCGCCTGGGCTTGTTTTTTTTTGCGTGCCACAGCCGGCATTCCGACTTCATGGCATGGCATGGTAGGCCGGCGTGCCTGGGTTGATTTGAAGGTTCTGTAAAGACCCAATGTGAAGAAGCTGATGGGTTTTGTCCTTTCGCTTCGCTTGAGCAGATGGAAATCGGAACAGAGAACCCATTGATTTCGGGGTGCGGCGCCGACTCTTGTTGGTTTGTTTGACGATGCCGCTAACATTCCGCCAGGTTGATCGAGGGGTGGACTTGATCTTTGACTAAGGCCAGACAAATATCTTGGGCTCTTCCCGGGCTTCCTATATATGCACCGCAACCCAGACGCTCTGCGAAGACAAGCCGCTACCCCCAAACCACTGAGATTGGGGAGGAGTTTGTCACGCTATAGCAATGCAACGGGTGTATACCCCTTGGGAGTGGCCGGGGTTGGTGGAAATCCTTTCAGATCTTTGAGCGGCCGGGCATTCAAGCAGGCCTTCCTTCGTCTGCTTGACCTGCCTCCACCGGAACTGCAATACAGTCTTTCCGCTCTTTTGGCAGCCTTCTTTCATAGCAACAGGGATGCTCAAACTGGCCTTGCCTCGCCAATCTCAAGTGCATTGCTCTCCCCAAGAATGTGACCGGGGTAGCTCGCACCTCAAGGCAAGGCTTGCTGTGCTTTGGATTCTCTGGGTATGAAGGAGAGAGACTACCGTCCCCCCTTCTCCCCAGCAAGGCTCTTAGAGGCCTTTGAAGTTCTAAGAGCTAAGGAGACAATCTTCCCCAGCCACGTGAAGCTGCTGCTGCTGTCGCAGTCGGACTTTTCCTTACCGGGTCAGATGGAGGCCGGGCCTTGCCAGCTCAGGCCGTCCGGCGCTCCTGGTGCGGGTTATCAAGCTGGTGCCCTGCTTCTCTAAGGAAAGGGCCAAGGAAAGGTTGCCTTTTTGGCCACGGTCTAATCTGCTCATTCACCGAAAGGATGGGAACCCCTCTCCCTGCACGGAAGCATGTTATGTGGACAGTCCTCTTGAACATGAAAGGCCTGACCAAATCCGAATTGAAGGATGGCAAGCCTTCTGAACTCGATGGCTTTTGGTTTTCTTTGGCTCCCCCCAAACAATAGCTGCTTAGCTCGTCGGACCAGTCCTGGAGGTATTTGCACAAGGCATGGCCAGGCTCATAGCGTCATAGCAATTCGAGTGGCTGAATTGACTTACCTCGTTATTTGACGCAGCGGGTTCACAAAAACACCACGAATGGATGAGACGTTCCCTTCCTTTCAAAAAGAAAAAACGTCTTAGTGCCTCAACGCGACTCGATCTCCGCGCAGCTGCTTTTCCAGGCGTTGCCAAAGAAGTACGACTTCACATTCTCCGGGTCCGACCAGGATGTGGCGCAGGAGCCGGGGATTGCATGAGCTCCGTCCAGGTTTCACGGTGGATCCAGCAGTTTCCCCGCAGATTGCCACGGATCTGCTGAGGAGCCGTTGCAGAGCACCCCTTTGGCGTTCCACTCTTTTTCGGCAGAGAGTCATTAGCTTCCAGGTGCTTTTGGATCTGGAAGCAAAGGTCAAAAAGTCTGTAAAAAGCTGTCAGTTCAAGCGAGCATTGCACATCCAAGCCCGAGGACAGATGTGTCAAAACCCATGCTCCAAGTGGAACCATTTCAAGAAGTTCAAGAACCGACCAATAGAGATTCAATGGGCCTACCGTCAACCCACAACTATAGATGCCAGAGAAACATACCCCAGATATGGGTGTGCTTTTTCAGACGGTAGTGTTTCAGTAGTCAATCCAAGGTGAATATTCAAGGAAGGCTCAATTCAGGGTTCATATTGCATTCCCGGCCCCAACATGACCATGGTTAACTTTTCTCAAATTGAGTGGTTGAAATATCATTCCTCCTTTGAAGTGGGTTGCCCAATGGTCATCCCCTGCATCACGGACCTTTTGGTCAACCCCCGGGGGCTCAGCTTCCAGGACTGCGTCGGCTGGTCCTCGTTCGCCAAGAATTGGAGCTTCGTGAAGGAGGCGAGCGTGGCTTTGGCCGACTCAGTCGGCCAATGGACTATAAACGACTTTTGGGGAATGAGGAAAGAACTGGCTAAACAAACTAAAGGCAAACTAACTAAAGGCAAACTAGCTAAGCTAACTAAACTAAAACCAAACTAGCTCGACTAATTGGGGAATGCTAAACTAACTGCTAAACTAAAGGCAAAGAACAAGCTGAGTCTCTACTGTTTTCAGGGGGGTTGGCTCAGTGAGTCAGTACTGGGCGCTTGTTCATGCAATCAGTGTGAACTGGACAGACAGCAGAGCTGTTGGTTTTGCATGTGCCACATGTCGGAGGCTTTAGACGTGATGTGTGGCGAGATGCGCCTGACGGGGGTGCTCGTAGCAACTAAAGACAAGCAGGGCAGCTTGGGCCGCAGATGCATTGAACCAATCATCCGGTTTACATAGGTATACTGAAAACAAGCTCGTCCATGATGAAGATGCCTTAGAGATTCATAGATTCATGCTTGTGTCTTGTAGATGTGACTAGCGCGGATATGTTGGCACCTCAGCAAGAGGTTGGCAAGCCAAGCACCATTGACACAAACACCGGCACCACCAAGCTGAGGTCAAAAGGCTTGCTCCATTCCCCGGAGCTGCAAGGGAGTCTAAGATGCACAGGGCGAGGTTTCAATCGGCCGCGTTTCGGCAGATTCTTCCGATTGGAGTCTGCAGCAAGATTCGCAACATCGAGGACTTGTGACCCAGACCACGTTTCTCTCACAGGAGGGCTTCTTCCACTACGTGCCGCTTAGCCACCATAGAGTTGGCCGCGATGAGGATTCTTGTTTCTGAGCCTGGGGTTGGTTTGCGGGTGGAAATCATCTTAGGGGCCGTCCGGCTCAGGAGGCAAAGCAATTTCTTATTCCTGCCACAAGTGCACGACGCCTCCCCGCGGGTCATCACGCAAGCGCTGGCCTTGGACGTGCAACTCGTCGCAACACAAGCCCGGCCTTTGAGCTTGTGACGCTCGCGTCGCAGGCTCCCGGTGGAAAACAGGTCCACCGATTGAATGGTTTGGACCAAACAAGGCAACATTTCGAGCTTGATTGCATGCCCCCAGCACTGCGCGCGACAAAACCTTGCGCCGTGCAATGCTTGGCTGTTGGAGGTTTGAACACTGCAGCACGACGCACTCAGGCCATTGCTGATGAACAACAACCTCATAGGCAGGCTGAGGGTGAAAGAACGCCGCATGTTTCACTTTGCCATTTTCTGAGGTGGATGGAAATATTTGACCAAGCGAACAGGTGCCTTGGCAAGCACTGGCAGGCTGCTTGACCTGCGTGCGCCACTGCCTGTTGGCAATGCGTAAGGTGAAGGTTTCAATGAGACTTGCCTGCAAATGTGGGCTGCTGCCAGCATTCATATCTCGAGTGGGCTCTAATTGTCCAAAGGCCGATCTCTCTTTGGAGATGCAAAGCCGTGCACGCCACAGCAGACACCAAAGTCTCGGGTGAAGGCTTCCACTTAAAGCTGCTTGAGCACGTGACTCGCGTTGTTGCACAAGGGCCCATTTGCAGTGATACCGGTGATGGCTTGTGGCTCAGGTAGTGTTCCAGTAGCACGGCAGTTGCCAGCACGGCAGTTGCTTTGAATTCAATCTTGCAGGGCTTGATCGGTTGATCTACATGCTTGCTGGCATGGGGCGACTTCGCCAAATGTGTGGTTTCTCCAGTAGCTTGTGGTTTTCTTTCGCGAACCAAAGGGCACTTAATTGGACCGCATGCTGCCGAGGACGTGCGCGACATCAAAGCGAGCATCCAGCAACTGCTGCAGAACTCTGCAGCTGGGATCTACGAGCCAAGAAGGCGGCACGGTCAGAAGCGTGCAACCGCCCCTTGAAATGTATCCATTATTGTTTGGACCCCAGGTTTTGATTGTGCCTCAAAGGGTATGTGTTGGCAGCGTTGAACTCCGCATTTGCCAATTTTGTTCAACACTGCCAATAGTGCTGATCGGCAAAGATCCACTTTTGCACAGTGCTGTTTTTGGGCAGTGCAGATCTGAAAATCCACGCTATTGCTTCGGCTGCTGCAAGCGAGCTGAGAGCTCAAAACATGCGAATCACGCGGGGTTTGTGGCGTTGGCTGCAGTCATAGGCTGGGAAGTTGAAGGGGGAATGCTCCGTCATCGTTGGTGATAGGTGGGTAGGTGGGTGGGTGGGTAGGTAGGTAGGTGGGTAGGTGGGTAGGTGGGTAGGTGGGTAGGTGGGTAGGTGGGTAGGTGGGTAGGTAGGTAGGTAGGTAGGTAGGTAGGTAGGTAGGTATAGGAAGGTAGGTAGGTAGAGCCTACATAGGTACTATATTAACCCACCTGGCCCCTCTCTAAAGCTAAGCTCTCCAAAAGGACCCATTTCCAGAGACTGGCCAACCTAGCGTAAATCGGGCTGGACTCTTGTACTCCAAAGTCAGCAAATTAATCTCTTCCCCCTATTAATAAATACGCCCCCCCCCTCTCCTATTATAAATAAATATTGGGGTCATTCATTAATAGGGGGAAGAGCTTAACCAAACCATTGAAGGGCAACTTCGTTGTTTCATCCCGTTTTGACATTTGAAGGTGCTCCGGACTTCTTGGAGCCTTTTGAATCTGGCAGGAGCAGCAGGAGCAACAAAAATCATGCGCCGTTTCGCCCCCGGTTTCAGAGTTTCTCTTCTTAATCCACGTGCCGGCAGCCCGCTCGCAGGTTTGTAGATGAGACAGCCGGGGACGAGCTCTCAGGGCCGCTTGGCACAGCCTGAGACCTTGCCGCGAGAGCCCCTGGTTTTCCTACACAACTTGGTTGCTTGGTGGCTTTTTAGCCATCCCGTCCCGAAGCCTTTGAGCTTGTTAGCGTGTAGTGGTTGGGTTTCCATGTAACCCACCAAAGTCGAGGGACCTGACGACGACCCAGATAAACACCCCCCAGAGTGGATGGGGGGACACCCAACAAAACCTAGGGTTCAACTCCAGTTACAAGAAAGGTTCGACTCAAAGTGGATAACATTGTTTAGGGAAACAATGGCCGTTATGTGAACCCCCCATTCTTTTTAATGGTGGCTTGAATAGGGTTGCCTCATGCATTTCAGAACCATAGCCCGAGGTACTGTGGATGGACGAAATCCTGCACAGGATTCCCTTGTAAATACCACCAAACACTGGTTTCCCATGGTTTCAAAGTGGTGCAGGATTTTCCATCCACAGTATCACCCGAGCATTTGAGAAACATTTGTGCTGAGGTCACGGCTCAGACAGTTCGTGGAGGAAAACTTTGCTGATCGCGTGAAGTTGCCGACAGGTGCGGTTCTCAGCACGGAGCGTCTCTCGAGATGGGTCCCTGCAATTCCCCCCACCCCCCGGCCTCTTTTTTTGGTCAAAGGTGAGTAACCCAGGTTCCAGTCGTTCAGAGTTTGCTGCTTCTGGCGGGACTACTGTGCAACCGGGCTTTGCGACCTCCTGCAGCTGGTAGGGCTTGACAACCATTGACACATGGTTCCCGAACTACCACCTCAATCAAAACGGCCTCTTCGTAGGAAATGGTCGGTTGGGGCTTCCCAGCATTTGTACGTTCTTGGCTCAGGGTTCCAGTTTGTATGCGCGACGGCTCAACCAAGGAACTCGGTTATTATTTCCATCAGGCGCGTAAAAGTACATATGATATAGCCAATTCGTCAAATTTACATATGTATATATGAATATGGGAGTTGTTCTAAAGGTGTGTTGGTTGGGGTACCTCCACGAAAGGTTTTGCTAAATGTATATTGGAAGTCAGTGACATGTGAAAGCAGTGCATCTTTTCTGTTGAGCCTTTTATAGCTGGATAAAACCATGCGTTGCTTTTCTTGCTCGTTTAGGTGCAAGAGGAGGTATTTTCTAAGCGCCGGGCTAGTTTGTGTACTAACTTGGTACTGAAAAGTCTTTTAGCTGGAGTTACGGAAGTGTTTTCATTCACTCGGATAATTATGATTTACTGGCTGGAGCTGCGGAAATGCATTGCGTGTTAACTTTAATTGCACTGGTCGGAGTTGCAAACGTGCATTTCGTGCCAGCACCCTCCGACTACTGCGCAGGGGGCTAGACATTTCCAAACAATCGTAGTTAGAAACACAACTATCAATTATTTTATTTGCGAGATGCCCAAAGTCTAACTACTGCTGGCTACCGCTTGCAATGGGGAGGGTGGTAGCAATCAAGGGGTGGTAGCAAGTGCAGCAAGCGCCTCACAGCATGCCACCCCGTGTTACCCCGTGCCAGCTGTGTGTTACTCCGTGTTGCCCGTGTTGTCCCCCCCCCCACCCCAGAACAATAATAGATCGCTGCGATTTACTGTCGTTCGAGCGTGTTGCCCCACGTATTCTCCCCCCCCCTCCCCATCCTCCCGCCCGTATTGCCCCCCATATTGCCCCCCCCCCATATTGCCCCCCCCACAGCATTGCCTCCTCCATATGCTCCCATGCTCTGTATCGCCAATGTATGTTTGTGTGTAAATTTCGAAAATAAATTGTAAATTGTAACTGGAGGGTATTATTATTTTTGATTATTCGTTTAATTTTTATTTGTTTAATCGGAATTGTCGAAATATGATATTGAATTCATGAAATCTAAAAATGATATTTTTTTAAAACATATAATAATTATTTAAATGGTTTTATTATTTGTTTATGGAATTTTATTTTATTTTATTTATTTTTTCGATTGGATATAATTATTTTAATGTTTTTTGATTTTGGGATTGAATAAAAAATAAAGATAGATATATTTAAAAAATATATATATATATATAAATAGAATTAAATTGGAATGGTTGATTGTTGTTTTTTTAAAAAAATGATTATATTATAAATTTATTATTTATTTTCATAATTTAATTATATATAAATTAACATAATGTTAAATATAATTTTATTTATTTATTATTAATTTATTAATAATGAATATAATTTATAATAATGAATATTAATATAACTAATGAATATAAAAATAATATAAATTTTATAATAATATTTTATATAGTTATATAAATAATTTAAATTTAAAAATATAAAATATGGTTTTATTAAATTAATTTTATAATTTTATATAAAATTATATTATTTTAGATTGTTATATATAAATTGTTCTTTGCAAATTCTTAATATATACATTTCTCTTTATAAGTTGTTGAATGTTTATGATTGTGCATAAAACTTCCATATATTATATGATTGTGCTTTAGGATTATGATTTTCCGGTGGGAATTATTAGGTGCATTTTATATATTATAATTTCTTTGTTTAAGTTCGCCACAATAACAATATTTTGTTATATAAGATCTCGAAAGAAACATATATATATTCATTTTAATGGATTTATATTTATATCGTAAAAATAATACCGAAATTCAAATTTTTATATCTCCAAAATTTAGCATAAACTCGAATTGTTGCACCTCGAATACACTAATCCCTATAAAAGGAATATATCAACATTTTATCTACATACTACAAAAATATGTTGAATTTGTGCACCTCGACCATACTAATTCCCATATAATTTTCGCACAAATAAAAATCGAAAATTCCCCACAAAATATTATTAATAATTAAAAACCTATTTCAAATTCCTAAAAATCTAAATTCAAATTTATAATTACTAACACCAAAACACTATATATTTAGCTCTAGATTCTATATATTTAATTTTATATATTCGATATTATATATTCAATAATATATTATCGATTTTATTCATTTAATTCTATATAAACAAATAATATAAAAAATTATAAAATCATTTAAATACAAAAACATATCTATAAAAATTCAATAATAAAAATTATATAATCAATAATTTCAACCATATTTTCAATTTACTACAAAATCAAAATCATCCATTCATACCAAAAAAAAATGGGTATGTGCTTTTTTAACGTGGTCATGCCGGGAGGTTGGTATAAGGGGTATGAATCGCAGGTATGGTTCGGGGCATGGCTCGGAGGTATGATTCGGGATATGGTTCGCGCACCTCTAAATTCTTGCTTTGTGGCTTTGGACACTGCAAAGCTCCCGTATGCTAGCAACTGGATAACGATCATGAGAATTTGGACCGTTTAGTTGCTATAAGCCAGCCTAGGCGCTTGTGAGTGGCCTGAATTAGATGGCTGTCACTCTGCGTGAGTGGGTTAGCGAAAGCTGCTGCGTTAGGTGGAAAGCATAGAGCCACTGCCTAAGGCGAACGCCATTGCCACCACTTGGGGTTCAATCGACCCATATACTCACAGATCCAAGCATATATTGCTCAAGGGGAAGCGTCGCTGCCCAGTCAAGCCCGTCACCCGCACCAGTTACGAACCAACATAAGGGCAAGATAGCATGTGTAACATCCTCAACCGGCAGTCATATAGAGACTAGTAAGCCTCTCATAAGTAATATATCGTATCTATTATGTTTAATACATCCATCGTAATAAGTCTTCCCGAATCCACCTTCTAACGAATTTCTATGAAGAAAAGCTAATTCCTACAATGTTTCTCTTTGAATTTTGTATCTTCTAAGAATTTAGACGGCATCAACATATAAAAGGCTCTTAACTACAAATAACAACAAAAAAATATAAATCGAGCTATAATCGAATATAAATCGGAAAATATAAATCGAGCAATATTTTTTTTTCGACCAACAAAACCCCAAAAACACCCCAAAAACACAAAAACAACTTGTGTTTCACTACCACAATAACCCAAAACAAACAATTATTTTCACCATATCGAACAAAATACAAAAAGAAAACTCCAAGTTTCAAGCTCAATAATAATATCCCCCATCATAATGCCCTATAAATCCCAATATCTTATATCAAACTACATCCCCCCACCACAACACCATAAATGCTACAAACAATCCTATTACCAAAATATCCGTAATACTATTCTATAATTCCATCCATTAGTATTTTCCATTAAAAATAACAAACCAAAAAACATAAATAACCAAATATTAAAAAATACCACTTAAACCAAAATAATCCCCCATAAGTAAACAAAAAATATGTAAATAGATATATCAACTTTAAATAACCCCATAACATCAAAACCCAATCATACAAATATCACAAACTCAAAAATAAATCCAAAAACCACAAATAAACCAAATATTACCTCGGAATCCCTATTCCGTAACATCCATCGATATATCAAGCCCCCCTTCTTCATTTAAAGTTAAACCCCCTATAACTTGCAATTATCCATAAATCATCCATAAATCATATACAAATACCACAATTCTTATAAGCTCTTTTATTTTTTGTGTTTTTGTTAAAGGGTATAATTCGGGGGTATAACTCGGAGAGATATAGGTCGGGAGATAATTCGGGAATATGACTCGTCCAAGCCCGAGTGTAATCTATATACATATATTATATCAATTGAGTATATGACCATTTACCTTATCCGACTAATGTGAATTCTTCGATTTCATGTATTTTTTCGGGATTAAGTCCGATTGATTACTTGAGATCAAGCTGACGTTTGTCGCTTGGCCTGAGACTTGCCGGAAGTGCATTAACAGATTCTCAACAGCCGATTGCAGAATGCAGATTGGCTTGGAAGAATTGCAGCTCCCATGTGGCCATGTACTTAGACAAGAGCGATTGAAACGAAGGCTTGCCAGAACTGAGTCCTCGCGCGCAGGGGTGTGTCTGTGTCTGTGTGTGTGCATGCGGATGGGTGGGTGTCGGTGAGTGCGTGCAAGCGTGCTTGCGTCTGTGTGTGTGTGTGCGTGTATGGCGGGACAAGTACCAGTTCTATTCGCCATGATTCGGTGGTTGCTCGAGCGGATCAACATGTTTGTTTCAAGCAGGGAAGTGCGCAGCCCTGCCTCCGACAAAGAAACGACCGCATGGGTCTTGTCTCCTGCGCCTGGCAGGCTACACGGACGGACAAGGGTGAACGTGGCGCGAACTGCGGCCATCCTATTTTGGCCCGCCCCGTCTAACGACATGGGACTCTGTAAGGCGTGACAGAACCCCATTGACAACTCTCAACTTTTGGCCGTTGGAATCATTTGGCTTTAGGGCTGAGAGAAGTGACGGCTTCTGTGAGGCTTTATTGAGCTTGCTGTCCAAAGCCACGCAAGACAACGCGCCTGGCAGCCCTTGATGCGGCGAGAGGAGCCCCAGGAAAGGCCTAAGGCTCCCCTCCCCCAGACTAACATGGAGCCTGAGGATCGCTTTGGAAGACTTGGTTCCATTTACAAAAGTCTGAGGGAGTGTAATCGATCCCCCATCTCCTTTTGCCTTGAAGGGGAAAACTTGAATTTCGGGGCTATTCAGCACTCAGGGTGTCGATATTTTTTGGGGTTTTTCCTTCAAATTAGGGCTGGCCTGCCAAAACTTGTCGGTAAACTCGACAA